CGGGAGAAGAGCCTTATGAAAGCAGTGGCTACTGTGGGACCTATCTCTGTTGCTATTGATGCAAGCCATTCGTCCTTCCAGTTTTATAAATCAGGTAGGTGGGTTTTTATCAAAATTCAGGCAGACAAAATTGGAAAGCAACACCATTAAAAGATGGTTTTGATACGGGGTCCTGCTTTCCAGGACTGTATGATTTTGAGTGTGCATTCAACATAAGGATGTTTATCCATCTGACATACTGTAAGCATTTATCATGCAGACAAGACTTCATAATTAATTTTGAATGACTATCCAATTAATTCCATAGATATAATCTAGTTTATGTAAATATTTTCCAAGTATTGAATGTTTATTCCACTTTTTTTTCTATTAAAATTCTATGATAGAGAGCCCTGTGGCTTAAGTATTTTGTTTTGTACTGTATCATATCCTTGATTATAGTCAGTTCTAAGAATATAAAGGCATTATGCTAATTACTATGTTGTAGCTTAGCTTTCATACCAATAGATCGTGTCATTGCAAATCTTTTAAAGTAGAAGATAACTTTAGCTGATATTTGGTAAGTATGATTTAATTGGATTTTGATTATTTCCATTGAGTTAAGTTTGGCTTTTTCCTTTTTTAATCAACAATTATTTTGGACCAATATTTAAGGCTTGAAATTTGTTTATGACACCTACTGGCTTATGAGTTATCTCTCTTAGGCAGGTTATTGACACATGTCACTTGGCTGCACCTGACCTCATTTTTGAATTTTACTCTCCCAGGCATTTATTATGAACCAGATTGCAGCAGCAAAGAACTGGATCATGGTGTTCTGGTGGTTGGCTATGGCTTTGAAGGAACAGATTCAAACAGCAATAAATTTTGGATTGTCAAGAACAGGTATAAAATTCCAGATCTTGTAAAGGGTTCTTTGTTTGGAATCAGTAGTCAGTTAAGTTCTTTAAGATAACCTGTAGAGACAAGACTGCTATATTGGAACCTCACTTTAGCCTCAATTTCCTGTCAAAAAGTTAAGAACCTAGAAGAATTAATATAAGCATGTGTAACAGCACTTTGAATAATGTCTGATAGCTGGTAAGCACCATTTTAAGTCTTGATTATTGTGAGTGAAAGTTCATGATTCTTGCTTCTTTGGATGAAATGGAATGTGCTTTTCTTCCAGTTGGGGTACAGAATGGGGTGATAATGGCTATGTAAAAATGGCCAAAGATGAAAACAACCACTGTGGAATCGCTTCAGCAGCCAGCTATCCCACTGTTTGAGCTGATGGATGCTGATAACAGAGGACTTGAGCACAGAATCTGGAAGAATTTTATCTTAAAACTGACTAAACCCTTACTATATATATATATATATATATAAAACACTTGAATCATTGAGGATCCAAGTTGTGACTTGAATTCTGTGACATTTTTGTAAGGGTAAAATGTTCCCACTACTTTAATCACTGTTATAAATAGCTTTATAATGTTGATACTGTTTCATTCTAAGACTTTTGAATTTTCATTTTTCAAAAGGATGTATAAAACATTACCTTTTAAAATAAATTTTAATTCAGTTGTTGAAGTAGAATGTCTTTTTTACTGTAATGCATTAACATTTGTGTAGTTGGGTAATATAATCGGGGTATGTGTAAAGACAAAACTAAAGTGGTACTTTAGGAGAAACACTGGATTTTCTAATTCTAAATATGCAGATTTTATGTCAGCGTAACTTTTGGATCTAGCAACATTTGACATTCTAGAAGGGCAAGAATAAATCTTTTTAAGAAAGGAAATCAATTTACTTTTTAGAAGAGAATAGGCATATAAATTCTTAGTTTTTAAACACCAAAAAAGGTGTTCTTCTTCCTTTGACTCAAGAATGTTAATCTAATATATGGCAAGGTGATGAAAATCTTAAGAATCATTTACTCTAGAGTGTTTCTGTGAATCACACTAATGGAGAACATATTACTACTTTGCACTTGAATGGGGACCAGACACAAGTGGGTTGTTAAGACTTGTCTAGCATTCTACTTGAGTCTTCTGGAAAACCTCATTTGTACCTAGGATGGCAGATTGTGACTAACAAATGTAAAGTGTTTGATAGTAAATGAAGAAGTATGTTCAAGATACTTCAAAGATACGATGTTGGCCACTCATAATTGTTCTTTCACTTCAGAAAATAGGTGAAATCATGAGGCTTAGCCCACTAATCCTTGAGTTCAAAGTACTTTTAGAATGGAACAAAGCTGACTATGTACGTAAACACAGGTCATAATAGAAATAAAATCATATATTGGCATATTTAATAGTCTAGAAGGACATTACAAGACTTCTGGGTGAGTTATGGGTGATTTATTTTCTTTAACCTGTTCTGCAAAAAACAAGTATTTAAAAATTTTTTTAACGTTTTTCATTTTGTACATTTTTTTATCTTGGTTGTAATACCCATGGACTTCCCACCACCAATTCACCCATATGCCATCACCATAGTCCTGTGTGCTCTTTCTGCCATGGTTTTCATCCTGTTCACCTCTCCACCCCTGCAGAATGGTTATAGTTGTTTGGAAAACAAATATTTTTTAGGGGGAAAAATATCCATGTTCTTCATGTTAAAGAAGAGTATGTATTTGAAAAGCTCAGGTTCCCAGTCAAATAAAATATAAGGAATAAGTAAATGAAATGTTCTCTTCTTAATCCATTATGAAGGAAATAAGACTGGAAGATAACTGCAGTTTTATATCCCACAGAATCTTCAGTAGACTTTGTTCCTAGCCATCTGTGGAAAAGATAAAATCTGTTATGTTCAGTCTGTATAATCTTAAGAGGGTTACTTCATCATGCTGTTTACCAGAGCTGTCCACAGAATCCAGGGAAAACTCAATTAAGGAAACATCTAGGTGGAAAGACTTTTTGCTAACATAATAGTTATTGTAATGTTAGATCAGACTTCAATGTCAAACTATTGATACTTGAAGTTTTTATACCTCTCAAAGACTTTTAAGCTGGTGAAAATTTCTAGACCACATCTGTAGTCTAAAGGCATTTTTCAGAACCAATAAGCTTAAAATTGTTTAAAATTATTTACAACAAAAATTGAATGTGAAGCACAAACTTTACTCATATACTTATGGTCTAGACATCTAAATAATTCCTTATCCTTAAATTGCAAAGGAAGTATAAGAGGAGAGAAATAGTTCAGCAAGTTATGAGGGAGGAACTTGCTCAAGTGGATCTGTAGCTATAGTACTTGGCATATTTTATTAGGGGAGGGGTAGGGCCTGAGTAATAGGGAAACCTCTGTTTATGGCATTTATTTCAGTCACCAATTCCTAGGTATATTTGCAAAAGCTTTTTAAGTATTGCCCTGCCTATTTCTATTGATGTTTTATTATTGAAAGTTGTAGCAATAAGATGACATATGTGATCACATTTGAAGTTGATGGTTTTCTAAACTCAGTTGCTTTTACACTAATGTCTAAAAAGCAAAAGTTTTTGAGATGAAAAGCAAATATTAATGATTGTGTGCTCAGTGTGGTCTGTCATCACTTAAAACACTGAATTTTACATATTCGTGTTCATTTTTATTTTAAAATAGGGAACTTAAAGCTGCACCGTGTCTCTACATTGTAGAATTTGTAATGTATAGATTTGCCCATATTCATTGGGCACTCAGTTCATGAGCATTCCATGAACTTGGTGGCCCATGTTTAACCTTCATTGTCTGCTAAGATCCAGCAAAACTAAAATCAGTTTTGCAAAATGATGAAATTCACAGAGGATGGAATGTCAGTTCCAAATTCCTACACTATGCACTGTGATTCATCCATAATGACCTGCCTAAGGCTCCATATATCAATAGCATCTCTCCCTGTCACTGATATCTACTGGGCCCCAAATGACAGAGCAGCCTAGACATGCAAAAAGCCTTTACTTGCTCTGAGCCCTATTCAATACTGGGTTATTGGGTGACTCAGTAAAATGGACCACAAACATACTAAGATCTCTGTAAGATCCAAAGAGACCTAAAAGGTTGAAATTGTGCCTTTTTTCTGTGTCAGAAACAGCAGCTTGGTCTTTCTATTCAAAGGCATATCTCCACCTGACATGTAATACCATCATTGGACATGTTCTTTGAGGTGAAAGTCCCCTGAATTTTTGTAGGGCTTATTTTCCACTTTCTGACATGAAACTATCTTACCAGCATGTCAAGAATAACTGCTACTTCTTGCATTTTATGTAACAACATCAATATAATGGACCACTGTGATGTGGTATGAAGACAACCCATGATTCATACAGACTAAATTATGATGTGGGGCTACAGAGTTGATACACCCCTGCAGATGCACAATGAAGATATATTTTTGGCCTTGCCAGCTGAAAATAAACTGCTTCTGGTAATCCTTAGGTGGAAAATAAAGCATTTGCCAAATTAAAAGATGTATACCAAAAACTAGGGGATGTGTTAATATACTCTAATCACATCTGGAATAGCACCTACTATTGGATTCACCACTTGGTTAAGTTTGTGATAATTAGCTATTGTTTCCCAAGATCCATCTTCACAGGACAAAAGAATGGGTGGAATGGTGCAATGGTGGAAATCAGCATCCTTCAAGTCCATAATGCTGGTGTTAATTGCTACAATTCCTCCAGAAAGAATCATTGGTTTAAGGCAGTTCTAATGACTTCCACTTGATATCTCTACTATAGTAGTACTCATTCCAAAGTTCTGGGAACCAACATGAGAATTTTGCTAGTTGCTGGATATGTCTATTTCAATTATTTATGGAACTGGGGTTAACTCCATTTACTATCTGGATTCCATAATTTCTTTCATCATGCTGTTTACCAGAGCTGTCTACAGAATCCAGGGAAAACTCAATTAAGGAAACATCTAGGTGGAAAGACTTTTTGCTAACATAATAGTTATTGTAATGTTAGATCAGACTTACTCCAATGTCAAACTATTGATACTTGAAGTTTTTATACCTCTCAAAGATCTTTAAACTGGTGAAAAGTTCTAGACCACATCTGTAGTCTAAAGGCATTTTTCAGAACCAATAAGCTTAAAATTGTTTAAAATTATTTACAACAAAAATTGAATGTGAAGCAC